CCTTGGATCCCTCGAATGCTGGAACTTGTGGAATTATTTGCTTTTGTTCCAAACACTTCATTTGAGTCTCTAAAACACTTCTGTTCGGCCAATTTACTCAGTTCTTTAATTATTTGATTTTACCCTTCCGAAAAGCATTTTCAAGCTGATAAGTTGTTGGCTCCACCACGCAAAACTCATCGTCTAAGCAGCTTATGCTATATTGAATTGAACCTTGTGTGGCTGCTAAAAGATCCCCGCCCTCCCACCAGTCGACGCTCCTCATAGTCGACTCGTGGATTTCCTTCATATATCATGAATCCATTCGATCTGCTCTCCCATCTAATATGTATGTGAAAGTACTCAATATACCACCAGGTGCAATATACCACAATATACCTCATAATAAAAGTTTTCAAAAGGAACCAGAAATGGAGAATCGGCCGCCTTCCATTGTCAAATAATCAAAGAACTAGGTAAATTGGCCAAACAGAAGTGTTTTAGAGACTCATATGAAGTGTTTTAAACAAAAGCAAATATTTCCAACAGTCAAGGGATCCAACGTGCGACCTCGCGTCTCCGAAGCAGTGCGCTTATTCACTACGCCACCGCCGCTTGCGGTATGCACTTATCGTTCCCAACTTGTGCGGACAGAGCAGAGATTAAATGGTCCGTAACTCCCTTCAGAGAATCGTTCCGCAAATTCCGAGGGCAGATTTGGATTCAGCGGCTCAAGACACGTCCATATTTGTACATCTCATTGCAAATGGCCTAGATCGACCTGTTGGGGTTCCCTTGTTAGGTATTTATCATACCAGCTGCCTTTGGATTGAGCTTTTTAGCAAGGCCAACCATGGTGGTTTTATCAACGTATGGCTCTACATGGAGGAAGAACTATCGTGGCTAATCAAGAATCTCGAGAGGTGTTGGAATGTTCGCGCTCAGTCAAAACGAAGTGGAAAAGTGAAGTTAAATTTTCGTCAGTTTCCACCAACTATCCACTAGCATCTGTCTAAAAGCAGGAGGTTGATCCACTTATCCAGTTGAGACCTGCTCTGCATTACACGAAGATTCTTAGAACTATATTCTGAAGCTTATGACAAAACACTAAACGATCCCTGGGCTATAGCTGATGACTCCATGCTGAAGCTGTGATCCGCATACGTCAGTAAAAACTAGCTCTGAGTGGAAACTTTCACCGTTCTCCCAACAGCAGTTTATTGGGCACGCTGTACATCGACATCTCTACGTATTAGGTTGTCCGAAAAGTTCTTAGCGTTTTGTATTATTATTTTTGTACATTCATTGCTGATTAAAATTCATTCTCCTTGCATTTCAAAAGACATCTTAAAGAGAATTTTTGCGCTATCTAAAGGTATAATTGCCGTGCCTTGATAAACCCACTCTTCCCAAGACTTGGAAGCATGTTAGAAGAGCAACTTCGGACGATATTTTTCTTCAACTACAAATTGGGTCAATCCGCAGTCGAGACAGCTCGACAAATTAACCAGGTGTGGGGGCCCAATAGTGTTGGAGAAAGCACCGTGCGACAATGGTTCGACAAATTTCGTTCTGGAGATTTCAGCCTTGAAGATGAACCTCGTAGCGGTCGACCTAAAGCAATACCTGACGAGGATTTGAAGGCGTTTGTGGAGGCTGACCCATCCCAAACAGTTCGAGAGATTGCAGAAAAGCTAGGCGTTGGCAAATCCACTGTTGCGGATGGTCTGAAACGCATTGGGAAGGTGAAAAAACTCGACAAG